ACGGGCGCTTCGGGAGCCCCTCGCCCGGGGCGCAGACCCCGCGCAGGCCGCAGAGCGTCAGTCCCCGGTACCCGGCTCCGTACGGCGGCGCGTCCCCGGCCGGAGCGCCTCTGCACCCGCCGCCGCAGCACAAGCGCTCGCCCGGCGGCTTCCAGAGGCACTTCCAGGTATGGGGCAAGGCGGAGAGGGACACGGGGATGGAGGGAAGGAAGGCGGGAGGGAGCTGCTGCTTCCAAGCGGGGCCCGTAGCCCGCTGGGGGAAGGCACGCCGAGGGCTTGTGCCAGCGCAGCATCCACCGCCAACAGGATTTTCAGGGGAGAGCGAGGCTTGAACCGCACTGGGCAACATCAGCTTTTCCCCCGCCCATTCCCCCGCAGTAGAGAGGAGGGACAGAGCACAGGCAGCTGTGATGAGGAAAGGCAAGAGAGATGAGGAAAGGGAAGAGAGATTCAGGCCTGGCGCGTTGTGAAGACACAAAGGGGCAGCATTTTTTTTTAATATTTTGTCGTATGAAGGTCGAGAATTAAGCCCCGGCCGAAACGGCAGCAAACACCTCTTTGTCCTGTACGTGCCTCCCTCTGATCAGTTTTCTTTAGTGCACTGGTGAAGCGCGGTGTGCTTTTACTTTGCCCGTGTTGTCCTCCATCGTGGGAGCTGCCCTGTCCATACCCTATCCACACTCGGAGTTTTCAGGGACACGGACAGAGAGCAGGAGTGCTCTGTTAAAGAAAATTAAGCTGAGGCTCCTTTAAGCAGAAATGAGAGCATCTGTTGTGATAATGACTCTCATTTTAAAGTCTGCTTTGCTCTGAAAGCTTCTGTTTGTATAGTTTTCCTGAAAGCCATCAACAACAGGTTCTGTGAGTTAAGCTGTTTTTCAGCTGTGTTAGTTGTAGCATGTGGGATATGCACACAGGGATGACAGTTCTCAGGATAACAACTTTATGCATATAACTGGTTTTATGCAATATTAAAGAAACTTTAAAAGTGTAACAAATGACACGTGCAGTACAATGATAGTTTTTTTGTGCTCTTATTGATACTTGAAGGATTAAAGTATGATAATGAAGTCACATCTTAATAGAGATGAGTAAAATCTTAATGTGCCTGCACTGTATTGTCACGTGTCCATTGAAGACTAGTATTATTTTTTTCTTATGATGCATTTAAATCAGGAACCTCACAGTTGGTGGAAGGGGATCATTATAAAATTTACACATTTTCTTCAGCACAACAGCAGAGACTCTCCTGGTGTGGAAGCCAACAGATTGCACAACCTCAGTGCCTTTTGAAAAAGCCAAGCGTGTGGCATTTCTGCTGCAGGTGATGGAGGGACAATTTATGTCATCAATGTCTAATTTCCCTTCAAAAAAATCACTCTTTGGCTGTTCAATTAAGTGTTTTTTTTCAAAGCCTGCCTTAAAATTAATTGAGCAGAAGAATATGTAGGAATCCTTTTGTCTTTTGGTTTAGCCAGAACTGTTTCATGTCAGGATCTGAGGACAGGAACCCTCCCATAGGCTCCGTTCTTGATATAGGAAACCTGACATAAAGTCAGGTTACATTCTCAGGTTAGGAACATGACATGAAGAAGGTACAAGTTTGAATCCAGTCTCAGACTGTCACAGCATCTTCCATTCTCCCCTTTCCTTCTTTACACCTTGTGAGTAGTTTAGGAGCACTGGCCTGATGGCAGTTCCTTCAGACTCAAAGGATGTTGAATGTCTGTAGCTTTGCCCAGGACTGAAGAAATGTGTGAGTCTGCGCTTCTACATGTGTACGTACACATGAGCTGTTCTTCCTGGGAGGGCAGTAGAGACAATCATAGAGGGAGTTTGTCTGATAAACCATGAGTCCTCATCTGCTTTGGTGTGGACAAGGATCTCCGCCCATGAGGCCATAAATAGATTCAGGTAGAGGGCCTTTCTGCATTTTCTAAGCATCAGATTTCATGTGAGGCATGTGCTTTGTCCCCTCTCTTCTGTAGATCCTGTTAAGTGAACTCTACTGCCTTTGACAATTATGATGCTACAGTCACTTTTGAGATGATAGTGGCCCTTTAAAATTGCATTGGAAAATCCAAAAGACAATTTATGTTTACTTTAGTGTTCTATTAATGTCATGCTGTTAGCATTCTGTATCCATTTTGTGCTCAAAGACTTTCATTCTTTGAAACAAACAGAAAACTTGAAGAAAAACATACTGAAATGGCTAACAGCCTTCATGTAGCCAGTAGTTTACAGCACTTTCTGTTTTTTTCCACAGAGGTGCTTCTGCTTTATATTTTATGAAAACATGTTTCTGGAAGCAAGGGCCTGTAGTGACAGGACGAGGGAGAATGCCTTTAAACTGTGAGAGAGTAAGCTTATATTGGATATTAGGGAGAAGTTCTTCATTGTGAGGGTGGTGAGGCACTGAAAAAGGTTGCCCAGAGAACATGTGGATGCACCATCCCAGGCATTGTTCAAGGTCAGGCTGGATGGGGCTTTGAGCAACCTGGACTAGTGGGAAGTATCAGTGTCCTTGGGAGGAAGGTTGGAACCAGATGATCTTTAAGGTCCCTTCCAACCCAAACCATTCTGTGATTTGTCTTTGTTGCATTTCTTATCTCCATTTAGAATTCAAATAGTGGTAATGTTTCATTCCCTAGACTCAGCAGGAATTACTGAACTAGCTGCTAGCAACAGCTATGGAGTGGTGTGGATCAAAAATTATTACAGAAAGTAAAACAAATACTACCCTTTTGAAATGGTACAGTGTGAGGATTGACTAATTTTTGTATTTTGTGCACATGCCAGCAGCTGTAATTACATCAGGTGAAGCAAGCTGATAAAGGAAATGACTGTCCTCAGTTTCAAGGCACTGTTACTCCACTCAGTAACTTTTTCTACTCCAAAGAGAGATTTGTTATCTGGAGAAAAAGTACAGAGGATAGATTGGCTGTTTCTTTAAGGAAAGTTCATTGAGAAAAGGCTGTTTGCATTAGTGACAACTAAGAGAAAGCTGTCTTGGGTACCAGATAGTGCCTCTTGCACTGAATGGTTTCTCTTGTACAGGTGGGGCTGATTTCCTTTTCCACTGGCCTATAATGTGAATAATCACATTTTGTTTGTCTTCCCTAAAAAAAAATTCAGGGGGAAAAAGCATATGATGATTAGTATTCTAAAATAATCCACATGCTTAAATTAAACATGTACTGAAGGCTGTCAGTCTTGTATTACATAATAATAAATTTCCTAGATTTCAAAAATGCTAAAATGTCATGGTTATTGATGACCTGCATCATATTGTAGTGAAATTTAAATTATTAAATAAATCCATACAAATGAGCCTTACCAGTGAATTATTTTGCTCCCTTTCACTGAGTACTGCAGATCATTATATCATCTCATGCCTTTTTTGCCTTCTGCAGATTAAACACAGCAATAAATGAGCTCCACATTCAATCCGTTTTGTTAATCTGTCAAAATTAAAAGGTCTTCATTAAATGTGGTGGTTTAGACATGGTGGGGTTTTGTGTTTATTTAGGACAGAATGCACTGGGTACTGCTGTTTCACTGCTAAATGTGAGTGCTTAACATAAATGTCACTGTTGCTAGAACATGTCAGCTTACTCGAGGAAACTCCAAGCCCCTTAGAGTGTTTTTTAGATGCATTCTGAGGTGATTTTCTGACCTTCCTGGGGTTTGATACAATATAGTAATTCACCACCTTTTAGAATTTTTTCTGTTTTGAGATCATCCTCTCAGCTACATAACCTAGCTGCAAAGAATCATTAGAAACAAGTGCCCTGTAAATAAGACATGGATGTTCCCACATTTGATCATATATCCATTATCATTGAACTTCAGTACTTGAAAAGTTCTTGCTGGAACCCCATAAACATGTTCCTGCCACAGCATGTTAGCAGAAACAGGTTCAAGCTGTTTGAGTGAAATCTATTCTTCTGGCTAAACATTGGGTCTTTGACTTTATGGCACCATTTCTCAGTTTTGCTCAGAAATTGTTTCATGTGATCTATTTACATAGATACTGTTAGGGCTTACTAGTCAAATTCAAATACCATCCCTGCTGATCCAAAAATTCAGAGGTGGCAGGGTTGTGGGGGAAAGCAGCCATTAATCAAGTGCTTTTACCCTGCTTTACAGAATCTGATAATGAGCCACAAGGCATCCTTGAGGTTGCTGTAGTCATGCAGAATGTAATGGGCATGCTTGGAGATTACTGTGTATCTCAGTAGTGTGGGTTGCTTAACTTTGGTTAAAACAAATTAATTTAAATAAGTACAGCTTTAGACAGAACTTCACCTTTTAGAGGAGTGACTCTGAGGTCAAAAAGGGATGCTGCTAACAGGAGAAAATTATTATAGTAGTTTCTTTATGTCACAGCACTCTTAAGCTGCAGACTTGTAGCAGCTTTACAGAAGCAATTGTCATAATCCTTGATCTAAAAAAAAAAAAAAATCAAAAGCTCTCTGCAAAAGTCAGTACCCACTAAGTCACTGATTACCACTGAGACTGTATAAAAAATAAAGTCATCTGTTCTCAAATTTTACAGAACACTGATTTGGTTAAAAGAGGACTTTTTTTTCCAATGAATTCTTGGTAACTATTTGCATTATACAATGCTGTGTTCAATCTGTAAGTACTTAATATTTGACTTCTGCTCTTGTTAATATTGTCAACTCTTTCTGAGCATCTAACTCCCTGTTTTGTTCTTCAGCTTTTGTTAGACATGTTGACAGATTATGAAAAATAGCATGAGCTGCTTTTCTGCAGCTATGTGCCAGAGTGATGTAAACAAGTATTTGGGAGAAGACTGTGGTGGTGCTTTTTTCTTATCCTGGTAAATCATCATTCATAAGTAAAATACATTGAAGTTAATATTTCCTGAGGAAGATGCAAGTGAAGTGTAGTAATTATGATTAATAATTGGCTTCAGAGCTCTACTACAGTAGACGGAAACATTTTTTTTTTATTTTTATTTTTATTTTTTTTGTTAGTTTGAATTAGATTATTAAATGTTTCTTTACCTGATGGTTTTCTTCCAAAGGGATCACCCAGGACATCTACTCCATTTGGTACAGCGCATGGCAGAGAGAAAAGAGTGTCTAATGATGTGGAAAACTATTACAGACCTTCAATGCTTGAGGACCCATGGGCTGGCCTAGAGCCAGTTTCTGTTACAGACATAAACCAGCAATACAGCAGTGAGCAAACAACATGTACTGGTAAAAAAGGGAGGTATTTCAGCTAACACTTTTAAAGGCCAAATAACTCCATCTTGTCAGGAAAACTTTGGGACAGAATCTTTACACTTACACAAGATGAACAATAATCAAGACCTTAGATAATACTTTTATTTCATCACATGTCCACCCTTTTATCCTACCTTTTTTTATTGCATTGGATATTTTTATGTGTGGGAGGCAAAAGGAGTGGTAGGAAAACTTATATTTCTGGCTATGTGGAAGTGCCTACCAGCTCTGAAGAACAAAGTGTTCTTTAATCACCAGCGACTGATTTGTGACTGTTAAAACAAGTTTCCATATACTTACCTCTCCCATGCCAGATTGTTTGCCTTTTATTGTGAAGTATCTTAGGGAGTGGTATTTTTTTATGTTTCAACAATTTTACAATGAAATAACTTGGAAGTAAAATAAAGTTTTGTAAATCCTTGTTTTGTAATGTATAAAGAATATTTTAGGAGCTTTGTTAAGGTGTACACGTTAACACAGTAGTTCTCAACACTGAAATTAGGTGACTTCTGTAAATGTGCTTGTATGCTGTAGTTAACATCTGGTTTTGTGCATAGTAATTCTTGTTAATCGCAGTGTAATGTAAAGTTGAAACATGACTTACAGCCATCTCAGGAAACAAATGTATGGGTTTTGGAAAGTTTAATTTGTTGAACAAACTCTTGAATCACAAACTCAATTCTGGAATTGCTTGTTTTTATGTTTAAAAAATATATATTTGGATCAATATTAGAAATTCCTGGATTATAGTAACAAGTCTGTTCAGTGACAGTTTAGGTCTAAAGGATGCAAAACATCAAGCTTACATAAATGCAAATGTTCTTTCTGGACCCATCTGCTAGAATAGTACAGAATAAATAACAGGTTTTGTTACATAGTTGACATTAGTACGTGCATAGCATCTTTTTTTAATCTGTTTTATATTTTTCAATTATTTTTTATTATTACTTACAGCAGGGCATCATTGCCAGGAGGATTGTTTTATTTGTTATATGCTATATTTTTATACTGAAGAGGAAAGCAATGAGTTGGGGTTTTTTTTAGAGCTTGTCTTTATGTGGAAGATCCATGCTTAAATACAGGAGTGAATATCATAATCTAGAATAAAAAAGAAATAGTTCCAGCTGCAGGCATGTTCTTAACTTGCCATGTTAAGCCTGCAGTAGTGAGATACATTTTTGTTGAACATACCACTATTTGTTTGTTGATCTTGACTTTTAAGTCAAGGTACAGTGTAAAAACTTGCTTAAATAAAACCATTAGTTTGGTTTTCAAAATACATGTGTTCTTTTAAGCTTCTTATATACTCAAAACATATTTTTGTTGTCCTGAGGCGTGGTTAGGTAGAAAAGCACAGGAAATCCCATTAAACTGTTCTTAGTAAATTGTCTTTTGCCAAGGTAGAATAGTCCTCAGTACTCTTTATCTGTTTCAGCATGTTAGGTTAGCACTGCCTTTGAGAACAATTTCAAACTGTAAGGGGGGGGTTAATGTGTTGAAATATGCTGAGTCTCTTGTACTAATAGGACCACAATCTAAAGTATGTCACTTCTGTCGTTCCCCAGTTGGCCCTGAACTAGTATTATATCCAAAAAGGCTGCCTCAAGAGCTGAGAACATAATGCCTGCTGGATATCAAGAATGGTTAAATCTTCATCCCAGAATCAAAAAGTGGTGCCTTAAATGGCAGCTATCAGTATTGTAATCTATAATAGGTACCAGTGAAACTGAAATGACTTGACAAGTTGTAGTCTTTAGAATTTATACATAAGTTAATCAATGCCATTGTGAAAATTGAAGTGTAAATTTTTCTTTTTTTTTTAAACCTTGTGCTGTAAAGCTCACAGAAAAAAAAAAAACTGTTTTGTTGCTGTTTCCCATGTAATTGAATTGCAATTTATGTTTTGCAACATTTGCTGATCTTGGAGAAACAAAAATTATTCTATTTAAGAGAGTTAAGACATGATGTGTTCTCAGATACGAGAAGAGTCTGGGTCTGGAAGGGAGAAAGGAAAGGGAAGGGATTCTTGAGAGAAAGGAAACTGTTAGAGGTGGGACTTCATACACAGTAGCCAGCATGAGCTACCTTTGCACATTGCAAAGATGGATTTTTCCACTTTGGCAGCATTGCAGTTGACCCAGGCATCAAAGCCAGACTCCTCTGATAATAACTCTTAACTCCTGGAACTAGGTATCAGACATCAGTGAAGGTAAATGTTCCAGAAAGAGAACTGAGGAAATAATCTTGAAGCCCTGTTTAATCCATGCACACCTTCCACAATGCCATCTGTTAAACTGCTGCTTCAGTGCACGTCATGATATGACTCAACAATTTTAAGTACATCATACTGCTAAAGGCTACAGTCATTTGGTCAAGCATCAGCACCAAAAACTTAAAAAGGATTCACCTTTCTGGCTTCTGGCAGAAATTCTGTAATTACAGTAAAATTTAGATATGTCATTGTTGAAGACCTGTAAAATGCATGAACACATGTTCAGAACTATAAATATAATGTACTTAAAGCCAATTTAAGCTTTGCTTTTCTTGCTGTGATATCCAGGAAGCTTAAGGACATATCTCCTCTACAGTTTTTTTTCCTTTTTACCATTTGGCAAACATCCTGTGGAGAGAGGGTATATCACTTCCTCATTTGTTAATGAAGCCACTTCATAGTACCAGTATGATTCTGGAAATAGCATTTGATGATAAAATGTAAAGCACTAAATACATCTTCTCTTCATGAGCCCATGAAACACAAAATTGTGCTTGTGTCTTGTTAATGAAGGGATTCTTCTGTAATGAACACACTGAGTATATGGACATTGCTCTTTCTTCAACAGACTTCTTGGATTTCAAGGTAAGTTAGCTTCTTTTTCGGAAGTTTGGGTTCACACACTTTTCCATTCTGTTTTGTTTGCCTTGTGTTTTGACGTTCTCTTCAGTTGTTATAAAGTGTAACTCATGACTAACTCTTCCAGCAAAAATTTAATTCGCTTGTTGCTGCTTGCTCCTGTGTTTAAGAGTGAACTGCATCACTACTACATTAACAAGAACTTAAATCAGCTGAGAACATGTGTAATGCAGTGTGTAACATGTGTAACACACTGGGTAGGTAGTTACCTCAAGATGTGCACTATAATAGTTCAAACTTCAGGTTAGGGTTTTCTTTCCAGCTTTATAATATTCATTCTTCTGTGGCACTCAGTATACACATTGAAATTGTTAAATTATTTAAAATATTAGAATTTAAATTAAAATGGGATTTTGAAAGTTCATGTTAAACTCCTCCTCTAGATTAGAGGTAATGAACTGAGATGTGGCATTTTCCTAATGTCAGAGCTGGGAACATTTACAAGGTAAAATGTGGCTGGTCAGCAGAATGGATAACTACTTTTTCAGTCAGGTTTCTTTTCTTGTTAAGGACATCTTTATGTTCTCTTAACTTTACATAAATTATTTCATTAGAGATCGGGGCGGGGGAGGGGGGAATTTGAAAAACGCATTATATGGAAATTCTACAAGTAGCTGTTCACCTTCCTCCTAAAGAAAAATTTTTTATAGTGTGTTTGGTTTTCAAGCTGTGCTTCTGAGTAATCTCACTGAAGTTAGAGGATTTGTTCATACATCTGGGATGTATAAGTATCTAATGTTACAGTTTGAAAATTCTGTCATCCATTTATCTGTCAGTGTTTTTTACCAGCACTGCAGTTTATCCTTCTGCCTAGCAATTACTCTGAATTTGAATTCATACATGTGTTTTTTATATGACTGTCTTGAAATTAATTAAACTCATTCTTGTAATATTTTCCAAAATTCTCAAGAGTAAAGACTATTCTCTTTTCCCCAAATCAAGATTTGCTTGCCTTCCTTCTATCTTCTTGGAACTGGTGGAGGAAAGGGAGTGTTGCCTAAACTGATGGGTGAAGAATTGTCCAATGATTTTCATGTCTCAGACTTTCAGAAACATACATAGGTAACTAGATAGACTTTTTTTCTCATTTGAGATGGTTCAAACAATTTTTTACATCACAAGAAATGAAAGAAACCGAGTTGTGTTTACACTCAGCAGTAATGCGGTTTCAGCATTCAGTCATTAATTCACAACCAAATTTTTTTGCCTAAAATAACTTCTTGTCTGTACATCTCAAAAGGCACAAACTGATTCAGTTTCATTCTCTGCCATTTTCACTTAAATGTGTGCTTTACTGACATACAATTTAACAATAATTTCTCAATCTGAACTTCTGAATTTTCTTTTACAAAATAAATAACTAACTCTTGAGTGATAGATCTCAAATCTAGACTTCCCTTTAATCTATTTTAGATCTGGCTAAAAAGGCTTTATCTCATCCCATTGCTTCCTTGATGATACTAAGAAACCTGTGTCTCCTGTGCTAGAGACAGCTGGGCAGATGTTTGGTGTGTGGCTGCCCTTCCTATCCTAGAGGTTACCCCTAGACTCCCACCATGCCAGTCTAGCAGGGCCCAGAGGCTGCTTATATGGAGACAAATAGTAATCCATTTTGCATCCCCAGCTCTATGTGGGATTCAAACTGCATCAGGGGGTTGGTTAGTACACATCCTGGATTTTAAACTTCATCAGCATTTTCTGCAGTAAAATCACAGCTGAATTCCACTGCTGTTGTTTCACTTGTCTGTGGCTGTTGCACGTTGTTAAACATTTGTATACAAGAATGTAACTCCTGCAGCTAAAAAGGGTCATAACAGTACAGTTCCAGAGTGAAATTTTTAATTCTGCTGACAGGCCTGCTATTACAATCTGCACCAAAAATCTGCATGTACTACCCTGCTTCTGTGTAACAGTAACCTCGATGTTTGATGCTGTATTAAACTACACTTAAACCTGGTATCCGTATGTATTTTGCCACAGTCTGATTGCTGTGTATTCGAGGTAGTTAAAAACTGTTACTGTAGAGTCAGTGAGTTCAAATCTTTGTTGTATGCATGAGGAAATTCCTATGAGTTCAAACCACTGAACATCACGTCGATGCAACTGTTAGTATAAATACCAGTAAAGGGAAGAACAAAACCTCTTTCTGATGCAAATCTTTCTCTTTCCAAGCATGACAGAGCTAATGTTAAAACAAGGGAGGAGGAATCAAGCTAATTGACAGCTTCTGTGGATGCCTGTGCAGCATGAAGCACAAATAACAGAGCTAACATAAGCTTTAACAAGCAGATTGACAGGTAGGGAGTAGTATCATCAATAATTCCATTGTAAGTAGCAATTGCAGTGTTCTTAAACCACCACCTCCTGTAGCTTTATGAAGATTTTTAGGTTAATGTAAAATAAGGCTTTGAGCTGTATTCCCTTAAGATGTTAGAAATTAATGTTATTATTCCTACAGTTGAGTTTGCAGAAGAGACTGTCTTCACTTGTCTGTGAAGTTTAGTTTCTTTGTTGTTTTTTGTTTTTGTTTTTGTTTTAGCTGTGAAAAAAACAGGATTTAAAAATCTCAGGGATTGTAACAAAGAAAAGGGAGAATTAACATCTGCAAATGGTCCAAGAGTACAACTTGAGTTAATAACTATAAGAAGGCACTGATATTGATTATTTGCCATTGCACTTTCCTAAACCTGTTTCCCTTGTCTGTAAATTTTTAATAGCCTCCTGATTTCTATAATAATTAAATTACACTAAGGAAAATTACTGGGTGGTTCATTTCCACATGTTGGAAAACTGTTTGCACGCTGTGGGCAACAGGTTAAGAATCTGTGATTACTGTTTGCAAATGAATGAGCTGCCAAATTGTGTCCCTGGTGGAACTGAAGACAGCTTAGACTATCAGCTGTGTTCCTATACCCAGAATGGTTTCTAAAATAAACTTCAAAACATGTAGAAAGTTTGTGAAAAAAAACCTTTGAATCCCTGGTTTTAAGGTATCTATTGCACTTGGTTGCATTTTTGCATTTTGCAGTATTTTTTAAATACAGCATGACAGTATTTAATTTCCTCTTGCAACAATTGCTGCATGTTTTATACATTGGCTCTCCTGTAGCCTGTAATCCTCACTGCTGTGACATGAGGAAGAAATAGTTACTGTCTGTACCTTGTGAATGTACTACTGGTAACAGCCCAGTTTAGTTTCTCTGCTATTAGATCATCCCAGTATGCATTAACCAAACCTCTATGGTCTTACAACTTGCAAAGTACATTCTAGTACATTACTAAACATATCCATAAGGCTTTGTGTACTTTATATTTCAAGCAAACAGTTTAAAGGGACTTACCAAAAGTGGGCTGTTTTCCTTTAGCACACACACCCCCACCCAACTCCATCCAGAGAAGATAACTTAAGCATACATTCCCTGCTCTTTCCACTGAAATAGGCTCACTCCATGGAGTCATCCAACCACCCACCACACTCACTCTTCAGTCCTGTTAGTTTACACTGCTGGAAATGACAGAATTATGACAACAAGTAAAGTCACACAGATCCCCCTGCCTCATCTAAATGAGCCTGCATTGGTTGAGTGATGGACTTTGTTGTCAGATGTGCAGTGAGAACTGTTCAACACAGACATGACTTTGCCAATGGTGGCCACCCTTGAGATTTTAAAAAAGCAACTACTGAACGCGCAGACAAGTGGTGCTCAAATCTCTGTTAAACATTGCAAATTCAGCAATAATAAACAGGCAAAGTCACTCTAAAAAGAAACAGAAAAAGTGTGCAAGAAGAAGGCACAAGGAAAGTGTTGTGTTGATCCCAATTCCTTCTGGTAGCTTCCCAACACAACCATCTCTTTAATACTTCTATTTCCACTAAGGAGATCTTCATTGATACTACACCAAGTTGGATGGAAGAAAACTACCTCATGAAAGCATAAAACCAGATATTGCTCCAGCAGCCACAGGCTCTATTAAGGTTTTTAAATCCATGAAGGACAAGAGAGCAGATGTGCATTTCTGAGAGAAATGAGTTTGGTGGGCAGCAGAAATAAAAAGGTTATCTGCCTAGGAATCTCTCCTATTCAATATACTTAATCATTTACTGCCAGTTAAAAAAAAATTCAAATTTAGTCCGGCACTAGTTACTTCAGTGCTAATTTCTACTTAGATGCTTTTGAACAGCCCTGAGATCTGCTACAGAGCGACTGCTTTCAGTCTTGAAACCTTTCAATAAGCAGAAGGAAAAAGCAAGGTTCTGGTGTCATTCTAACTGTATTAATGTGTCAGAGAAAACCAGCAGAAAAATGTCTAGTTAAAGCATATGGCTTTAGCAGCAACTATTCTGTTTCTAGGTAAGCATCCCAAAATAAATAATCCTGTCTGGGGCCTGGCAAGGATCATCAGTTCAGCTGACTTGCCCCTCCAGCACCTCCTGGCATGGAGACAATCCAGTGAGAGGGTCTGCACCTTCAAAAACACACCATTTGCACAAGTCATTCTCAGTCATTTGTAATATCACAAAGCATCAGCACAGAACGTGGGCAAGAGTCCAGGACATGGTAAAAGTGTCCCCCTAAGGGACACAAAAGGGTAGAAAGCTGAAGAAAGGTAAGGCCTGCATTCAGTCTCTCACTCTGTTTCTTCACAGGATCCACAACATTGTGGACAAGCCTTGCATTTTCTCTGGAGTCACTTTCCACCAGTTATTCCCAATGTGCTTTCTGTGGCTGACACTTCTCTCTTAAAAGATTTCCACTCTTTTGTGACTTAAACAACCCATAAATTTTTATTTTAATTTTTAATATACTGATTTATTTATTATAAAATAAACATTGAATTTATTATTCAGAACTATCTGTATCTCAAGAAGATTTTTCCATTCTTAACCATCACTGTTCCACTAGTTCTGACAAAGAAAATACAAATGTTTTCAAATCAGAGATTATAATTTAATAGTTTAAAATGTGTTTTAAACTAAACTTGCTGATGGCTGGAACAAGAAATTTAATTCCAGTGAGCTTTTCCAACAGTGAATCTCAGGATGGGAGCTGCCAGTGACTATCTCTTCTATAATAATGTTGCAACATCAACTGCGAAGCTATTTACAAAGGTACTTCAATCTGTAACACATCTGTTTTTTCTGCCTGCAGTTTTCACACTCCTGCTTCATTATTTTTGTCCTGAGGTCCTGATGAATTTTTGGTTAATATTGTTTCTTTTTACTAGTTGCAAGTTTTGAGGATCTTTCAAAATGGTAAAGAAAAATTTGTTTTTAAGTTCCAAGTAGTATCTATACATATTGAGTCCCAGAGAGTGAGTGAAATTAATAACTTGGATGATTCTAGCTGTGAAGAGGTATGGGATATAGACCTTCTCAGTATCCGTAAACTAAAGCATCAGTGAAATACACTTTTTACTCAGAAATGCTTCACAGATTTTGTCAAATCCCAAAGCTCACTGTCTGTGGTAGAGAGAAGCATATCCTGTGAAATCCTGCACAATGTTACATCTGAACCTCACCTGGCAACTCCCACATAAAACCACCAGTTCTGTTTAAACCACAAGGAAGGACACTTGATATTTAAAGATTTGCCTTTGTGGTATCCCAGGCAGAAAGAGTTAAAAGAGTTCACAGCTTTTTCTTGGAATTTCCTTCTTGTCTCTAGAGAGGTTTGTTCTGGAGTCATGTAAACACAGACATCTGCTTGCTGTCACTTCATCCTTTTTTTAAATTCATAAGAATAGGAAGAACCCCAGAGGGAGTTCCAGACCAGGCCACTTTCAGCCACCAGCCCTCCATGCCTTTATCCAGTAACAAGGCAGATGAAGTGCTGGGGCTCATACATATTTCATGAACCTTCTGGCTATGAGTTTTGTTAAACTTTGAAGTTAATAATACAATTCATTCTGTCAGAAATTAGTATCAAACCAAATTTATTTTTCATATAAAAAGTATACAAAATTGTACCATTTTTATACACCTAAAGTGTGTAAAGGAAATTGTGAAATACTGTAAGCTTATGGTAAGAAGACCATTAAACTAGAGTTGCTATCTAAAAAAACAAAAAAGTTTTCTAGGCAAAGTCAGGGATTTTAGTGGAAGCCTCTCCATCTCTTGTGCTTCTGTTTGGTGGTACAAACAACCTCTTTCTATCAGATTTAGAAATCAGGGCTCATCTTCTAATTACTTTGCCTCTGTTACTCCAGACAGGCAAACTGTTACTCCTGAGCAAACAGGAGAACAGCAATTTACAGTTGTAGAAAGAGTTTTAATCTCTATATCCTGCTTAACAGAAATTCACCTTACAGATGAAAACATTGCTTTTAATATAAATCCAAACCAACACATTAATTGTATTTCATTAAGCATCACATCAGTCTTCAGATGGGGTAACATTATTAGTCCAGCATTTTGCATATAGGAAAATAAATGAATACCAAGAGATGTCTTGCTTAAGCCTTATTATTTTTTAGTGGCAGAAGAGAACCTGATGCTTTCTGCTCTCCCTATTGCATTCCCTAATCAATAACATTTTCAGATTAAGTTTCAAATGCATTGCCTTCCTGGGAGGAGGGATGCCAGCAGAAAGTCAGCCATGGTTTCCTACACATGCTAATGATACGTGGTAGCTGTTTAATTCTGTGAGCATCTCTCACTCTGCTATAACTGTTCATTAAATGTTCCAAATTCTGACAGAGCTCTGAAAATAACTCCTTGATTTCCTTCAAATCTACTATTGAGAATACAAATAGAAACAGCTTTTAACAAAAGAATAAGGACTTAGAATAGATGAGAATTTCCATGATTTCTTTGATAATCTACGTTTGTGTGCTTCACAGATCTCCAGGAGACAGTCTTCTGTGGCCAAAATATGTATGCCAAATTATACATAATTTTTTTTAATGGAAGGTAGTTTCATTAAAAACCCCCAACATTCTGTTTAAAAGGGAAATTCTGACACTGGAGAATTAAATGGAAATCCCAGCTGAAGTTAACAGGGGTTCTGGTTTTTGTCCTTAATCTGAAGTAAAATCTGCAATGACAGCAGGAACAATTTCAACCTAAGATAATAGTTGTAAGTTTTCAGTCACAACACCATAGCATTGGAGGTCACAATCTCCTTAGAAAAGGAATATTTACTGTCTTGAATTTCACTGCATATGGAAATGATTTATGCTGTAATCACAAGCATAGCCCCTTCCAGTGGAAGATTCTCAAGCAATTACCACAGAGCAAATCAGTCTTTAGCTCACTAGGCATTAATTTAACAAGACCTTTTTTATTTTTTAATGACCAGTATCTTCATAACTGATTGATGCCTAATCTGGTGCCGCACCTGCTCTTTCAATCTCCAGTGGTTCAGCTTTTCAGATTAATGAATCAAAAAGACAATTGTGACAGTATTATAAAATGTATTGTAATAAACTTTCCATGCTTCAAAACAGAAAAATAATCCACAAATTGATTTCCAGAGTTGAGGTTTCAGGGTCTGAATGGTTTTATCACTGGGGACTCTTTAGACAGGAGCTTTAAGTGACATCATCATTTTCTAAAGCATAGAATTGCCACCATAATTATAAGTCTTTTCAGGCATTTTATTTTTTAAAAGCTACAGAAAATCAAGCCTAAAAATGTTAATGCATTCCTAATACTGGTCAAACTGTGCAAATGCTGAATTTATATTCCAGCAATATGTAATACTCCACGTGACGTAGATGATGTTTTGCGAAACACAGGGCGAATAATACAAGTGTTACAAACCTGATTTCCTGCTTTTTATGACTACTTACAGAGTGCTTAATGACAACTTGAGGCAGCTTTTGCCTTCCCATTTAGGAACAGTTTTAGAACTGCTTTGAAGAACAGTAGGAGCTGCCAGCTTCCCCAGTGCACTCTGGAGCATCCTACCAATAAGAAATCTAATCCCAGTTGTTGGGTCTGTTTATATGCTGATGAATTTAATAATGCTGTGGATGTGTTCTCTCTCCTGTCCTGTGAAATCCTTCAACAGTTAGACGACTTGTCAAGGCATTCCACAACCAAGTGGTGCTTTCTTGGAAAGGGTGGAGCCCACGTCCTGTTAAACACTCTGCAGAGCAAAACAAGTGCTTGTGGATTTTTCCTGTTGATTTTGTCTTGTCAAACTGTTGTCTCTACATTGGGTAGAACCTTGGTCAGTCATCACCATTTCCTATAGCAGGAGCTATTTTAAATATCCATCACACTTAAAACACAAGAAATAGATTCCCTCAAATTGAGTATCTGTGAAGCATCTATATTTGATGTTCTTTCTATTCTGCATATGAAATCCTGACTTGTTCCTGTTAACTGCAGCCTCTTATGATGTAAGAAGAAGATTTTAGACATTATTTTTATGTAGTCAATATAACTGATCCCTCTTATTCTCATAGCATTTTTCTTCCCAGTTCTGTAGAGGAAATGGATGATTTCACCTAAATTTAAACTACCAGATTCCTTATTTTATTATGGACTGCAGTGACTGTATTTAGATCAGTTGGATGCTCCTGACTCCCTTTCTGCTCTTGGCACTGCAAACATGCCATATAGATTAAATATTTAGACAGAAACATACTTTAGCCAAGACAGGAGGAAGCCTCATATTGGGACTGCAACTCAAACTATCAGATATTTTTAGAACTTGATGGAAATACTTATTCAGTGCTTTGATTTACAGCTTCCCATGATGCTTACAATACAAAAGTTCCATAACACTGAAACCTTAATTCAGGGCTGAGGAATGAAAAAGAAAAAAAACAAACCCAAAAACCAAACAGTGGAAGAGGCTGCAAGGTAGAAACAAATGTCAGGCACTTTAAATAAAGTATGCAGAATGTTTCCCTGGATATGAAGAAACAATTTGCATTCTAACAGTTGAGACTAGCAAGAAACACCTAAACCCAAACTGACCTGGAGCTTCCCAGATCATTTGAAAGAGAAGGTCATCTCCAATTCACCTGATGCTAGAAGCTGAAACAGGGCTGATAGAATAGCTCTGCAAAGTTCTCTTGGATTTGTTGGCTGTTTTGTCATTATTCCCAAAAGGCAACATTGTCATGGCAAGTACAGTTTGGAAATAAAACTTATTACTACTACCTGCATGTCTTGTTTCACTGTCTTGTGTAAACATATGTGCTTGCTTGGAAGTCTCACAGCAGGATCTGTAATCAATAACAAGAAGCAGTCTGGGGAGAAAAATGTATATCACTTCTAAAATCTGCCAGGTTTAGAGTAATACTTTCCTGATGTGGAATTGCCAAACCATCTGCAGATAAGTTTTAAACTATTATTTACTACTCTACTTCTCATATATAGCATTAATAGATTCCTGTTCATTTCCCATGTCATCTGTAGTTCTTAGTCCGTTCCCTACCCCCTCCCCCTCACAAACAATTTTTAGAAAAAACTGGATTAAAAAATGGTCACAATTTGTTCTGCAAAGAAAGTAGGAATGTGCCTGTGCAGTTAGAAGGTCCTCTGCCTTCCTTGTCTTGAGGGCAAGGATTCCAGCCATGGAACGACACGAGTTTTCAGGAGTATTTGTGGGGCAGGAAAGGTTACAGGACTGTGTATGGATAATTCTGGCTGCTGTTTTTGTCCACTGTGCACATCATCCTTTGTTTCCCAGTGTGGGGATGTGTTTTAATTTTAGCTCTAGTGCAGGAAGGCAGGGAATGGCCTGCTCCTCTTCTGTAACTTCCATGTATTTTTTGCTACTGGGTTAGCTGCAAAGCAGAAGTCCCAATTTCTCAATCCTAGATTGATTTGCAGGTGGTTTCTAACATCCAAATGCTCTCTGAAGGGTAATACCAGTAAAGCAAAACAAAAAATTAAACCAAACAAAACCAAAACAAACAAAAAAAACCACCACCAAACCAGGTCTTGCTTTGAAACCATTCCTGTAGATCCTTTATGCAGTTGGTAAGGATGAAGGAGAATGAAAATAAAAAAGTAATGGTCTCTTCCTTGCTCTTTGTTCAGAGAAAATCACCTCCTAAAGTCAGGCTTCTATTCAGTTCTCTGAACAGCCCATTCCTTTCTCAGGGTGACCTGGAGACAGAGCAAGGAGAGGAAGCAGCTCTGGCAGCACTTAGGGCATTGCTCGGAGAGGCTCCCAAACACAGGGCAAGCAGGCATCAGTGCTTCCTGACCACTGGGCTAAACCAAGGTCCTGGAAAGGCTGTAGAGAGTGTGCTGTACCCCATAATGGAACCTGCTGACATGCTTTACACATTTGTAAAACAGGTCTGAAAAGAACTTGCAGGAGGAAAGAAAAAAGGCACCTGTGTTAGACATTGCTGCACATTAAACACCTGCCTCCAGCTATGTCCTCTAGCAACTAACAGCACAGCCTAGCCCACAGGAGGGAGTACAGCAGAGACATCTGTCAAATACTAACCACTTACTCCCCCAAATTACCTCAAGGGCAGCACACAGCTGTCAGATCTGCTTGTGAATACAAGGCTGGTTTCTGTAATACACTTGAGTATTCCCCCTTTCCAACCAGCTATTTCTCCTCTACACTGTATTTCCTAATATTTTCCTAAAATAAAAAAAAAAAATCTTCACAAAGGCTCTTTACAAAAAGTTCTATTAAAGGTACATTCACCATGTTATGACAATTTGCCATATCAATAGTACACCCAAAGTGCCCCCAGAGGAACTGCTCAAGAACTGAAGCCGTGCTGTGTGAAGAGATTCAAGTACTGCCTGTTGTTAAGGGCTGCTCTAACTGAAGGAAAGGAAAACGTGGCCATAAAGCTTAAAGTTCCTCTGACTGTGCCTTCTCTCCACAGGAAATAAAAAAAGCCCAAAATAAGCAGCCATAACAAGTAAACGACTTTAAAAACAAAACTCTCAAGCTCCATCAAAGCAAATGCAGTTGATTGGGAAAAGCTACAGTTACTCTTATTTGTCAAATTAAGTTCTCTCTGCCCATGTTTGCTGCAACTGCAAAGTGCTCCAACTTTCATTTTCTTCCACATGGTGGGGGAGTTTGGTAGCTCTAATCGTGCTCATCCAGATGGCCTGTCAGTTTTTACAGGCATTCCTTAAAAATAGAAGCAATCTAATCCTGGTTCAGGTGATTTAAAAGAAACTTCTGCAAAACTGCATTGTTCTTCAAAGCTAGCAGGCAATAATTCATGGCTTTGACAAGAGGACTGCTTTCCCCTCTTGCCACCAATTTCATAGAGCCATTCCTTGCTCTGTGTTGATACAGACTGTTCTGCAGTTACTTGTGTATCTCCTTTTTCACTTGATGCTATTTTACTTGCAGCTGAGGATATCGACTGACATGCAGATCCCACCGGAATTATTACTGGTACCTTACTGCACAGCCAGCAACCCCTACAGCAGTAAGAGCTCAATGAAAGGGATGCCACACCATTCTCAAACCATTTCGGGTTCATGCTCCAACATAAACCAGAGCCAACTTTGTCTCAACTTCATTATTGAGTTGCAATAGCAGCTTTCATGAGAAAAACTGAGCAGACACGTAGAATTGGTTACACACAACTGCCAGATCTGCTACATGCAAGTCAACACCCTGTGAAATACAGCCTGAGCTTGTCACCAGAACTGAAGGCTGGGCTTTAATTGTAGCAGTCACCAAAATATTGTTTCCAGAGTGAGATGTTTTGGGCTGCAGCTACACATCTTCAAGTGCCATATTTTTGCATGAAGGTATAGCACTTATTGAAAGATTCAAAAGGTTTCATTAGATTAATAGAGTAGGAAAAAAAGCAAGAAAAGCCTCAGGCATTCAAAGCACAGTTGCTTAAGCCAGGCTCAGTTCAGTGTCTCAGCAGACACTGAAAACACCTGGCTGCTTGGGTTTGATTTCCCATTGCTTCTAACATACACACCCTTCAATGAGACTGTGGTGAATATTAACTGCAAAGAAAAAATACCACGTTGTCCATCACCCACCATCCTGAGCAGCTCACAGGTGTTGAAGCAGCAGCTTCTCAGCACTGGCAAAGCCCCTGTCCCACACCCAGGCCCCAGCACTCTGCCTGCTCCTGGGGCACCACCAGTGCTCGAGGGATGCTCTGCTGCACCTTGGCTCCCACGCTGCCAGCAAAGGCTCACACTGTCAGTCCCTGCAGGGCTCCTTTGAAACAGGACAGGAGCAGTCAATGGGTTTTATTAAAAACTTGCAGAATTTCAATACACTGAAAACATTCTCAGTTTAACCCAATGTTCTTTTGAAATGCTATTTGACAATCAGAGAGGGAAAACAAGGAAAGACTTCAATTTTCAGTATTTTATTTACAGGCCGCACAATACATTTTATATACAAATGGCTTAAAATAACAAAGAGTAAGCAAGCTGAAGCATAACGATTTATTTTAAATTAAGTTGTCTCGAAATAACTCCTGCAATAAAGTTTCTTCACCCTGATAAGCAAGTTAATTTGAAGTCAACCCAAGGTCATTTTATTTTTAAATATAGAATTCAAATAGATTTTCTGGCGATTCCTAAATTTCATGACACACTTCTGCAAATACAGAACATCCCAAAACTCTCAAGAAGGGTGACAGCCAAAATTTCCTCATATAAAAAAACCACTGTAACAGAACAGACTGGAGAAATGTTGTATGTAAAACACTTGCGTGTTTTATTAATGAAAAGAAGAATGCAAGTAGTACATCTGACATTTTTCTCTCTCAGAAACAGAATTCATGGTCCAAGACCTAGTTTGCCTACAGACAAGAGGTATCCTGTGTTACTTCAGTACTTCAGTTTTTAACACACAATTATCTATTAAACTCATCCAACTGTAAACTTCACCATAACTGAAACTGCCTCCACCAGAACTGAAAGCGAAAGGAGAAGAGCGCTCAAAACCGTAAGAACTTACAAACATGGCACTTACTGCCTCTGCTGCTAGAAAGCACCTGACACTACTGTGGGATGAAGAAAATTTGAGACCACATTTTATGGAAACGTAAGAAAATAGACGTTGGCCATTTAAAAATTACTTTTCCAAGAAATTATATTAACATTTAAGGATACATGTATTTTTATATCTCTTCACTAGCACTGCTCATTCTGTTCAGGATAACGACAACTAGTGATCCATAAAAGCGGTTTCCTTTTCCTTTGGCTGAATTTAAGCACTGTAATAGTCTAAGTGTTTTAAGTCATGGTCATAAGCAGTCCAGTCGTGCTTGTTTTCTTCCTCTTGGTATGCCTAAAGACCACTTAATATAAATAATGAAGTACTTGCTATTTGATAGTCCATTATTACAGTATTTCACTATATTTATTTAAAAATACAAACACACAACACTTACTTTTTGATGTAGTATCCAGGTCTCTGTAGCTCACTTTGGAATCGCAGCACGGAAAACATAAACCCAAAGGAATGAGGGAGAAAGTAATAAAAGCCATGGCTCCACAGAAAAACAACGCTGTTTTCAGAATGCCTACTACTGCATCAAAAATGCAAGAGCCACATGATGTAAAATGCCAAACTAGTACAGACTCTCTGCTGAGTGCAGTTCACACGTAAGGGTAAAATGCTGCCATAAGCACCTCATCGTGTGATTTAATTCAAGAGAAACGCTGACAGGTAATGTCCAGTACAAATAAATGTGGACCTGCTGTCCTTAGATCTGGACAATTCCCTGGCTGCTAACCTGCTCAGACAATTCCAGGCCAGGGGAGAGTGGCTGCAGACACTAATCCTCCTGCCACACCATCAAGGGCAGAGCTCCTCACTTGCACCCAGCCTCCATGAGCCCAGGAGGAAAGGCATCAGCAAAAGACCCAGCAAGATTCCCTGGGCTGTAATCCTTTCAGAGTTATCACATATGGAAACACATTCACTTTCCCTCCAAATTATCCCAACACTGTTGCTCCAGGCAAATGCAGTGTTCAAAGTCACAGGCTAGTCATCTTTATGCTGGGGAAAAGGAACTGTACAGTATTCATCTGCTACAGTATACCAGATTTTGTTTCTGACTCATCTGGAAGTCAACTGGTTATTGCACTTCCTCTCTCCTCAAAGTCAGGATTACTTGTGTTGAGATTATCGGGGATTTTCATGGCCAAAGACTGAAATCCATTCTGGTAGAACAATGTCTGAAAGTACTGCCAGCTCATAAGGAAACTGCACACTCATTTACAGATGCAGAGGGGAACAACTCCTCTGCATTGAATGAAGCTAACTAAATGACTTGAAAATTTATGTCCGAAAGGGAAGGTAGGAGACACAATTTCTTCCTTTTATTTTTGTATTGGAAGTCAATTATAATTAAGTTCTCTGAGATCTACTCTCCATTTGAACTTACCTGTGTTTTTAGCCAGCTATTGCCTGCAGTTACACTTAAAGTGCAGGTGAGTAACCCCAGACTGCACATCTTTAGTGAAAGTAAGTGCATATAAGCTTTAAAAGTATTTTGCTTGATTCTAGAAAAAACCAATACAAAATAAAGAGAAATCTGTGTATATATTTGTGGGTCTGGGTTTTTTAAAGATCGGTAAACAAAGAGCCTTAGCCAACACTGTCCATATCTAAACGACACTAATGATTTTTGTCTTTGAAATTTTACTAGGAGAAAAATGCTATGGGGACGTCCTTACTCAAGGAAAAGACGGCCCAGGGCACTGTCATTCACGTGAAGCTTTTGCCTGTCTTACACACAGGCTATTCAGGCTGTATTTCTTTCTGACCTGGACAGTTTTATTTTCAGACGGCAGGATTCACAATAGGAACATTGTGTCTAGTGAAGGCAACTGCCAGACTTAGGGACAGTGTAAGCAGCAGGACTCTCTCCATTCCTCATCTGCCAGATCCTCAAACACAACACAGTCAGCAAAGGGAGTTTCTCCATGCTGTACAGTGTGGGAATTAGCTATATATGAATCAAGTTTTTCAATTAAAACGAAACACCAACAGCTTTGGCTTCTATTCTGAAAATCCAAAAAGTCATTGACAAGACATATGTAATAGTGTAAGTAGAAATTTTACTTTTTAAAAAGTAGTATTTAAACACTCAGTTACATAAGGTACCGATTTGTCAACTGGATAATCAGTTGGAAAATTGTTTCCAATATGGGCTTCAAGACATCATTTTACGTACAGGCAAAACAAAACCATACCTCCCCTCTGCAGGAGAGAGACCACTTGTTGCCAGAGGAAACAAAAAAAAAATACCATGCTGGAAGTTGTAATTAGTATGAGGAGTGGCTCTTGGTAAGAGTTTTAACTATAAAAATTTTAGTTGTTCCGAGACACTCAATTCCAATATTAAAATGTTCTGTGGAATAGCAGATAAAAATCAATTAATTGGCACAATCACAAGTTTACAGCGAATTACAACTAAGTGTCAAACATTTTGCCATTGCTTTAAATACTGGTCATTTTTCCTTTGGTTACTTCCTACAATGCAGTATTTGGGGTAAAAAGACAAACGGTGTCAGCTTCTCACACAAAGTAAAGAAATTACTGCTGTTGACATTTAAGAGAAAAAAACTATTTCATTACTTGGTAAGGACATATAAAGTATAGTTTATTTGGCAGAGGAACTAAAACACTTACTACAACTCCAACAGGGAGCTGAGGAAAAACTACACTCTTCATTCTTCTCCTCACTTTCAACGTTTCTCATGAAGTTCAATTTGGAAATTACAAATTTTTCTAGGTAAGATCAGGTCTCTAAGTAACTGGCCCATGTGAAGTAAACACCACAAGATTAGGACCTGTTCGAGTTTCTTATTATTATCTGAATTCTCTTGTTAATTACTCAGGTTTAGGCATTATGTTCATAGTGACCTATGAAGTACTTCCAAGTTTTGCAGACCTTAAGCTTACAAGTTAAGGCACTTACCATTCAAGTAAAACAGTTTTTATATAAACAAGTGTGGGAGATGGAGAGAACATTTTACCAGAACACCCTTTTTTTTTTTTCTTGAAAGAAAAAAAACGTTGACCAAATATTTATAAAATTTTGCATCAAGAGAAAGGTTGTGTTTTATTATCTGAAATGAGCACGAAATACACCTTCCACAATAACACTGAAAGCAGTGCAAAGACTGACAGTGACCTTTGACTAAAGGTAGTTCTGTAAAAAGAAAAATACCAAATAAATCAGTGCCCTGCTTTGATTGTTGTAAAATTTCTTTTTTTTTTTTACATAAAAGTTGGTCCAAACTTACAAAAAAAGCACAAATGTGCATAGTTCAGAAGATCTGAAAGAGTGCCATAAAAAGCTGATGTCCCTAAATTTAGCATCCACTTAAAACTGCCAAAATACAAAATAAAAGTCAGAACTAGAGTTTGTGAACATGTACAATCAAGTCATCTAGTTTTTAGACAGCATGAGTTGTAAGCATTTTTAAATTTTTCCTACTGTATGCAAGACCCTTTTCCACATAAAAATAAAGCTGTTGAATTAACATTATTCAAGTCTGTTGAATTGCTGCTTTAAATTGCAGCTAGGGGGAAAAAAAAATGTTTTTCCAGATAAAAATGATGTGCCTGAGGAAAAACAGATACTCAATATGGTAATCCTCTGCCTCGCCCTCTTACTGCAGATGTGCTAATGTGTCCCCTGTATCCTTGGGAATAGCCAGGTCCTTGGGCAGGAGAAGTCCAAGTCTGTCCATGCATGTGGCTGATGCCAGTGGGATTTTCCTGTAAATTACTTCCA